ACGACACAGAATTCACACAGGAAGGTAACTGTTTCTGTAAGAATTTCCTCCAGAAAATGGAAGGGTGTTCCAGACAGTTTGGGGAAAAGACAAATAGAAAAAAAAAGGTGAAAAAAAGTGCAGGAAAGTACTAACACTGGATATCCTCAGATCACAGTGAATGCCAGTCTTCCTGGGTCCGATTGCTAACTGTTACCTTTATCTTCACCACTTCTGCTTACCCTCAATTAATTGTTTTATCATCATGATGTAAGAAAAATTACATTTATGTGAGCCTTCTCCTGCTATTTCCTTTTTGCTGCAGCTCTTGTCAACTTGTAGTTTACACAAGAAGTGAAAAATTCTACATGCCCTCAGGTGATAGACACATGCACCTTCCCAGCCTGAGCAGTGCTCATCACAGCTGATCATTTCAGTACTAGGTAATGCTGCACAAATCACACAAACCATGTCAGAGCAAACACTAATTCTGGAGGAGGGGAAGAATATGGAGATTAATAACTGACACCAGTTAAGTTTCCCACATGTTGGAGTGCTTTGAAGCAATTTCTCCCACTGACTGCATTCGGGATTTATTTTTTGTTCTTACCCAGAAACAATGTAGGGTACTGGGAAGAGGTAAGAGGTTGATTTTATGCATCACTTCCCAGAAAAGCAGCAATATAAAAATCAAGACCACATTTTTCTTTCAATTTTTACCTCCACTTAGCTTTCTTTTTAAGCAATGTGTGACTCAGCTCAGTCTGGGCTGTGCACCCCCGACTGCCAGGTACAATCCCCTGCGAGGCTTTGCTCTAATAACCCTTACAAACATTTCTTCTGTCTCACCTTTCACTTAAAGGTTAAAGCCTTTGTCTCACCCCAAAGCAGGCAGAGGATGTCACTGCTAATAACCTGGTCTGGGGATGTGAGAGGGAGATCCTGTGCTCCCAGCATTCAGGTTAGCATACTCCCAAAAGAATTGCTTCATTTCTCAGAAGGGAGAAGAGTTTCCATGGGCTAATCCACAAAGTCAAAGAAAAAACCCATGATTTCTCCATTTTATCCTCCGTGGGACACACATTTCTCTCTCAGCAGTGTGCCTTCTGCAGTATCTCCTGCTAAAATAAATGGTGGTTCCCTAAACAGTCATTTTTGCATCTTCAGGCTTTCTCCTGTTTCCCCAGCTTCCTTCTGTCACATATATCCTATTCCATAAACATAACCATGAGAGGACCATATCGTTTTAACCTTATTTTGAAAATTACTCCAGAGTTTCAGCTGATTTGCTGGCTTCTGTGCTTGAAGGAGTTTACATCTCCCTGTGGTTCACTACTTCTGTGGGGTTTAGCTTTTGTAGCATTTAAGCTTTGACCTCAGGACAAGTGCAGTGGCCAAAACCAACTCCATACTCAGCTGAAGAGCTGCAGCTAGCGAGACTGCCACGACTTATTTGTCAGCATGTAGCTCTGACAGCTTTGTTAGTGTGGGATAAGCTTCACCCCAGCTGGACAGGCCTGAGTGATGGAGCAGACACAAAGGCTCTGGAGGACAGAGGTTTGTAAGTTAAATATTTTGGTATTCTGGAAGGAGGAATTTGAAGAAAACTGTCCTTAAATCTACTCCTTTTCTTCTGGATTCTAGGAAGTTCTCCTTTAGACAAATTAAAAACCAGTGGAAAAGAATTATAATGTTGGAATCATTACAAACAGGTGAAAAGGGGCTAAGATTTGGGTGTTTTAATCCAGGCAACAATTAGCTCTAATTCTATGCATGTCAACAGCTACTGGCACCTGAGTAAGACAAAACAACAGAAACCACTCTAATTCTGGTTAAATGTGTTCAGAGAACTCTTGTGAATAGTCTACACAGTAGTAGTTTAGTACCAATTTAGAAAATCACAGTCTGTATTGGTAAGAAATACTGAGAATTTTGTTGACTGTGCTCCTTTAAAATTCAGGTAATTTTTAAGCCACATCTTGAATTTTTTGCTCACGCTTTTATGAATTATAAAAACGAGATGGAACATCTTGTAGGAGTTGCAGGAATTGGCTTCTGACTATTGAGGTGCCCACATCTAATATGCATCTATAAACATTGCCTGGAGGGAAATAGAAGAGAACATGAAGCAAGGGTGTATGAGAGATAATATTGTGTTAAAAATGGAAATTCACCATCCTCCCTGATTTTACCTTAAGAACAGAGCCATCAAAATTTCCCAAAGAGAATTCTTACTCTTGTAAGAATTTACTGCTTAGTGAGACTTTATCTATTTGACTGAAATACCAACTGGAAAATACATTGGAAGTATTTAAATATTTCTAATAGCTTGGAAAGAGTTTGAAAGTTTTCAATCCTATTCAGTACCAAACTAAATTTTAAATTCCATCTGGGGAATAACAACATAATGTTTTAGATTATTCAAATCAAACCAGTGCTAAAGAGATAAAATGGGAACTTTCAATTTCCTCCCTGTTAAAGGTGTTCTTAGTTCAGTGCAGACATATTCCTGATCACATCTTTTTTTTTTTCTTCTTCTTCTCAAAAGTGAAGGCTGTAATTAAAAAAGAAAAGCAGAAAACCAGCACTGAAGCAAATCTATAAAGCTGAGTACTGTGGAGTCGGACAAAATGACCTTCTGAAGTTAAAGAGAAGCTGAAATAGCCAATAATTGAAATGTCACAAAAGGAACTGGCTGCTGAGAAAAAGCAAATATTTGAAGATGAGAAATATTTAACAAGTCACTGGATTAATTTCTCTGCCAAGTTCATCAGAACCAAATACATTTTTATTTGATGTCAGGGACATCAGGTACAATCTGACTAACCTTATGGGCATAAAACAACCCCAGAGGCAGTTTTAATGCAGAACATGCAGAATGCAGAACAGTTTAAAGCAGAAAGAAAGAATGCCAGTGAACATAAATTTTTCAGCGAGGTAGATCCACCTTGGTATTGAAGACAAAGAATTGCATTTTATGAAAGAAAGTTATAATTGTATGAATAACTGCTTGTGCTTCCATCTTTTACTGCTTGCTGTGAAGGAGCTGCTGCTGCAGCAGAATCCAGCTCTTTTATTAGAAGCTAAATATGAGATACTCCTGTCACTTGACATACATAAGATTTATGTCCCTTGAGGGAACTGTTCTGAGTTTTGCTCTTCTACTTCACTGGTTTCTCACCATCTTTACTCCATGGAAATATCACAGTGATTAGCCAACAGTCACAAATTGTAATTAAATTGAGATTTCAAGGTGATTCCTGATTTGTTTTCTTGATCTCCATCCTAGTTGCACAGGCTTAGCAAAAGCAGATACTTTTATGTTTTCAGTCAACTGATTTGACTGCAACAAATTGTGCACTCAAATTCAAAAGTCTGGGTCTTAGAGGGATGTAATTTCAGTGGGGGGAAAAAAAATCAAAAAAATCCTGGGAATAGGTCTCCAGACCAGAGTCTGTCTATGCATGCTTTGAAATGATTAAGAATTCCAGTTCTTCCTGCCGACACAGTGGGAATGAAGCTGCTTACTGGCAAGTGGCCAATGTCCTGGTGGGGACAGACCTGCAAGGTTCAGCTTCAGTGCCTCTTTCACTGGAGTAACCTGAGGAATTGAGTTATGCTGACAACAGCAAAACCTCAGCCATATATTCCAGTTCAGGCTCAATTTTACCTTTGTGTGCACTACTTTTAAAAAGGAGCATAAACAAGCTATTAATAATACTAATGACAGTGTCTGTTCCAGTACAAGATGATTTGGATATGTTTATGGTAGCCCATGATTCAATTTATACATATCTGAGCTGGGGAGATTTACAACAGGAACAGTAGATCATCTCCATGTACATCTTTATTTGGACAGTCCCTATATTATTGTTATATGGATAAAATTAATCTTTTAAAGAACTATATAAAGCCTGCCCTAAGCTTGTCCCTTAAGCACTCAACACATGATATTTTAATGACTGAAAGGGGGGAAAAAAAATAAACAATTTGCGTAATTCAGTACTGTAGCAAATGACTGCACTGACAAGGTCACCACGCTAAACTGACATCATCCACACCACATCCAACTTCAAAAAATCCTCCAACATTTGCATGTAAAGTGTCAGACTCCTAAGGGTATTTTTTTTATTATTTTCTGCTTGTTTAATAAGAAATTTAATATTTTAAATTAGGACTTTTAATTTGCAGGACAAAAAGCTTAAGTGCTTTGTTGAGCTTTTTTTGGCTTTCTGTAAAAAACATCATTTTTTCCTCTACTACATATAAATTTTATTTCCAAAGGTAACTGTCATTGACTCAGATAACCAGCAATTTCTTTTGTGATTAGAAGCTAATAATGTTGTTATTTACAGTATAAGTGATCAATAGTATTTATTCTGGATCAGTGTCAAAGCTCTAAAATTGATATTAAATGTAAGAGAGATACTGTAACCAAAGCAAACACTAAAAAGATCTTCAGAAAGTATATACTGTACTGGGAGATTATTAAAATTCCAGATACTGGCTAAAAGGTTTAATGTGCTGAATACAAATGATATTTTAAAGAAAGATCTGTGGATCAAAGATGGATTTAATAATCATAATGTTTAGGAATTTGTTTTCAAAATATTTTTAATTGGATAATGTCAGACTTCTGAATTACAATGCTATTTTCATTAGCATTTCAATAAGTTGTACTATCAACTCCTTTTGACATAAAAGAATTTGATTCATTTTTAAAATCATGAATCTCATAATCTTTTTTTTTTGTTGTCACTAGTTTTCAATAATTGTATTATCTTCTACAAGAAGAGCAACAGGAACCACATGGGCTTTGCTGGTAATGATGGTCTATAAATCTCTTCTCTGAAAGCAGCTCTCCTGCCTTTGAAAGTAATTTGCAGTTTCTTATCAACACAGAATTAAAAAGTAATATTGTCTAATTTGTTATGTTCAGCGGCACAGAGTATTGTAGAATTCCATCACATACAAATAGCTTTGAAACCTATATTATGTGACCATAATGAAGAGTACATAAGTGAATTTCAAAATTTATGAAAGTGTTTATTATTAGCCAAGAAAAATCTCAAAAGCTGAACTTGTCAATAGGTTTAATAGTCTCTTAGCAAGATGTGTATTTTGCACACTCAAACCTCAGTGCAGTTTATAAAACAGTAATTTGTAATTTATAGTCGTATTGCAAATAACCAATCTGGACATTTCAGAGCAGGTCAGGGCATAATTGTGTAAGTCTCAGAGTAAATCCATACATTCAACATGATGAACTCCTTGCTTGCAGAAGTTGTCTTCTACTTCCAATAGGAACAAAAACTGATTACTGTTGATCACTTAGATGTAACTGCTTGTAACAGTCAACAAGCCATCACAGTAAGGTATAAAGACAGCCCTTAGGAGAAATGCTGCCTATCTGATGACATTTAAAGCTTTAAAGAATTCCTTCTAGATACTGCAGGAAATCATCATGAGCCAGCACAGGCTGCCAATGTCACTGAGGGAGAACCAAGCGATTAAATCATGTACACTGGTAACATTGCCATCCAAACCATTAAAGTACTTTATGGAGCTGGTCTTGCAAACAGTTCATCCTGTCAGCAATGCCAAGGTCTGTGGTAGAAACTACCAGGGTGAGAATAGCCTATCACATGGGTACACGTGCATGATGCTGCCTTGCAATTGGATCAACCATCCTTTTGTGTTGATTTTAGCAGTTCTAAGAAATAAAACACAGTTTAAATGATATCCTACTACCTCTTGTCCCTCTGCAATGTTCTGATAAGAGAAGTAAGGCATGAAGTTCCTGTAGCTTTTTGATCTGACATTATCAGGTATGTATAAACAGATGATGATGTTTTAGCAGAGCAATTAAACTGTATGTCATTTTTTATTAAACAAAGAGTATAATAACTGACTATATTATCACAACGGAAGCATAGAAGACCATATACTGTACAGCTGAAACCCTGTAGCAAAATTTGTTCCTCATATTTAAAGAAATGTATCTTTATCAAGCTTTCACAATGGCTGCGTCTTGCTAATGTAAAGAATCTTCACTCTTGTTAAGGCTAGATGATTATAATAAACGATAATTGTACTGTTAGAAGGTTCTACGCCACACTCTACTTTGATGAGAATTTAACTGAAAGACATACATTATACCTGTATGTGAATTATAATGGCTTCTCAGCAGGGAACGCAGAATCACTTACAGTACGTAAACATTTAAAGAGGAAAATGCTAACACACTGAAAGAGTTTAACATCAGTAGCGATTTATCAAATGAAGAAGTTTCATAAAGTCCACTCTCTGGGAGAACATTCACCATTAGACAAAAGCCTGGCATCCTTGATAGTCTGAAGTTCAATCAATTTGAAAACCAAAATCATTCAGTGAGATAAACAAGATTTTAAGAAAACCATTATCTTCTTTCTCAGGTAAAAGCCAGAATTAAAATAATAATTATTAAAATAATCCAACCAGGTCGCTTTACAGGCAAATTTACACACTGTCTCTTTAAAACACTGCATGCCCAAAAGCCTTTTGGGTTTGGAATGTAGCACTGCACCAAGTATTTCACAAAGCCTCTAAATATCACAAGAAGCTTTTTTTAGAGAGAAAAAAAAATAAAATTCCAGCTGACTGAGACTGTTCTAGCAGGAGTGCCTCATCTTAGCTCCCAGACCTGGAATTCCAGATAAACAACAGAGGACAGCAAACAGATTTATTTTTTTTTTACTTTTTTTTTTTTTTTTTTTTTTTTTTTTTCTTTTAACACGTCCTTTTGTAATGCCTATAAGACGACTGATGAGCTTAGGGACAAAGAGAGTGAGAGTGCAAGTGCCATCAGGGTGAGCTGTGTGCTTAGATAGAAGCTGGTAGGAAGAGCCAGGGAATTCTCCGCGGATATGTGACTGGTGGAGACTCCCGCTGTGTTGTCCTTCCCGAGAGCGTTCTGCAAGACACAACACCTTCCTTGGTCACCATCACAACATTTCCTCTGCAGAGCATTTAAATCTACATCACGAAATCCATCTTTTGTTTGTCCATGTCCCACCCTCCACTGATACCTATACATCAATCTCATAAATTGAATTATGAAAAAGACATTAAAACAGATGTCACAATGACAAGATTTTGAAATTAGTTAATACCAGTACTGCACACTTTAAAAAAGAGAAGAGTATTAAATTTTTTTCAGAAATGCTTCCATGTGTAAAAGCCTGGCATTGTTTTTATGGCTCTGTGTTTATCATACCAGTTTGTTTTTTAACAGCAAAAGCAGGAGTCCCAGTGAAACTGCACCTTCTGGGATAGTCAACAGAACAACTTTGTTTGACAAGTTACTTCTGGATAACAATAAATTAGATTTAATCCATGGGTGCAGATCATTAAATAAGTATCCTTGCTAGGTGCAATGGTGTTTACTATGGGATCTGCCTAAACATGTACCCTACAGGTACTGAAGTATAAAATCAGTGGAGGACACCTGGAGCCCAGCTCTGAACTTCTAAGTGAGATCATTCTTTAATGCATTATGATATCCAAACATAACAAAACTGACAAGAGAAGTGTGAGGTAGCCCATGATAATCTTGACAGACTTGGAACGTCTTTTCTTTTGGGGAGGCACCTGTGCTGTGAAATATCCAAGATCCACACTTACCTCATTAAGACAGAGCTCTGTATCTACAGATTCGTTGGATTTTCGCTTCTTCTGTGCCTATGAACAAATACAAATTTTATTCCCTGTACAATTTACATTTCCAGCAGCACAAAGCACTTAGATAAATTTGCATTGCTTGTCATAATCCTATAATTGTGACAGAGATTTGCACATGATTAACAAATAAACTCCAAATGTAACGCATGTTTTCCAATAATATGCACATTTTCATTTGAATTTACAGCAAAATTTCAAACTGTCAACTAAGGGTATGTAGTAATTACAGTGATGAGTGCCATCAGCTGCAGAGAACGTGTTATCTTCCATGGCCCCTTAAAAATGGTGCTGGATGCTCATGAGAAGAAATTAAATATGACAGTTAATAATTCCATAATACCACTGCATATCAACGAATAATCTGTTATATACCTCAGTTTTAGGAAAATATACAACACAGGAGTATTTCATCCTTAATGATTCTTGCAATTTTCTTAACTATTATGATAATAATATAGATATTATTTTAATGTATTTCATGGCTGCCAGAGATTCTCTTCTACAATGCTACAAAAAGAACACTGACTCGAGCAAGAAGCACTTCAGGTGACATCATCCAAAATGGAAACAGCAGCCTGCACTCTGTCCAGCAGCAAGAGGTGTTTAATATTGCCATTCCTCAAGTGAACTGGGTGTTTTCTGCTTTTCTACAAGAGCAGCACTGACCCCCATGGTGTGGAAGGTGCTCTCAATAAACAATGCTGTGGCTGACTTGAGCACTTCAGTGATTCTCAGTTCTTTGTTTGCATATTCCAGAAACAAACAAAGCACCCTTTTATAAGAGGTAACTGTGCTAAAGTAAATTATTAAGAGAAGACTTGGGTTTACAAAACTACTGACTGCACTGGGCACGTCTGGTGCTTCCACCTGGAAGTTTTGTTGGACCTGCAACTTATTTCCTGCAAAGAATGAAGATCTGAATCTCACAGTGCTGCATTCATTTTACTGCAGCATCTCACTGGTTTAGGCAGTGATGGACTAAAGCTGATGTGAGAAAGTGCTGAGCAGTCTGATTTTATGCCCTCAAAAATTCAGCTCCACATACAGCTATTTTATTTCATATCTGAGAGCCACTGGTTCTGCCAACAGATACAAAATAGTCTTTGACCTAATTACTGATTTTAGAATTCAGATGAAGGAACTGAACTTCTTATTAGGAAATATATTCTCTGCTTTTAATGATATAAGAACATATTACAGACAACTGAAAAAGTGAAACAGCTGGGATTTAAGAGAAAGACAGCTTAGCTATAATAAGAATACATATGTTGTAGTTTTCACACATATGACAAAATAATAGCTCCATTTATTAATAAACACAAATTTAACTGTCTAATTGAAAAAAGAAATGCCTGGAAGCAAATTTAGAACAGAAAGAAGCACCACAGTGAAGCCTTCTGGCTATGTTCATAGTGGATAGGAAACTCCTTTTAAAGGCAGCTGGGTAGCTTTCAACTCCTAAATGGCTTGTTCCAAGGAGACAAATAAAGAAGGAGAAACTAGATTTAAATCCTGATTTTCTTATGTCCACAACATCCATACACTACCTTGAATTGGAATGTGAGGCTTCAGATAAAGCCTGTGGATCAGAGGTTCAGATCCTGGCAGTGGAGGATGTAAGGATCATGCAAGCCTCTTATTTCTTAGTTTGTCACTTATTGCTCACTTCCCTGTTCCCACAAGTGTTTGTTTATTTGAAACACTGCGCTTTGCTGCTTACACCTGCTGAGGATTGATAGCACTGTGCTAACTACAGGTCTACTGGTAGTTGGTCTCAACACCAAAGTCAGAATTTATATGCCTTTTGTACTGTGTTTATCAAATGAGTAAAGAGAAAAACATCATTATTTTGCCTATATGCAATAAATTCTTCCTTTACTTCAGCCTGCAAACAATAGAGTGCAGCAGCTAAAACATATTTACCTTTGAGAACACTATTTTAAGGGTAAAATCGACAGCTAGAAAAAAAAATTAACATAAAAAAACCCTTTTCAATCATTTTGATAAACATTCTGTGCTTTTCATTTGGAAGTTGATACTTCTCTGTACCCATATACTTATTGTAGACATTGTAACATCAACACTTATTCACGTGCATCCTCTGTTAAAATGTCCTCCTCTCTCTGAAAAGCAATTTAAATAATCAGGCAGGCTTTTCCCTTATCAAAACAGAAAGGACAGTATCTTCTACTTTAAAATACAACAAAAATGCAACCTTTTATTGGGAGGAAGGCAAAGGGAAAGAAAAAACTGTCATTTTGAGGGTGAGATGAGACATTATAAGCCAAGTTTCAAATTGGAAGAGTACATTTTTAGTGTTGAGTTATAAACCTGTGAGAATGGGTTGTAATGAAAATACTGGCATAGGCTGTACTGCTGGAATACAACAGTGCATCACTAAATCACAAATAATGGCATAAAAACCCAAAACCTACAGGTTGAAGAGAGTGCTTTAGTGAATGTTCTTCACTTACAACCAAAGGGGAAAATTCTTCCTGCCCTGTCTTGGGCAGAAACAGCTCTACACCTAGCAGAACTCTTTCTTTGTGCTACAGTGAGTGAACACCTTATCAGAGACTAAAAAAAAAAATAAATAAAAAAAAATATCAGTTTGGAGGTTATGCTGATAACTCTGGTGGAAATAGACCCAGCCTGGGAGACATTCATTTGAATTAAAGAGGCTACCCTCTTCTTTCAGATATTTACTTTCTAATATCTTCCATTACCCTAAAAATTTAAACAAGAGAAAGGAGTGTCCATCATGTACAGCTGCAGACAATCCTGGAAAAGCTGCACCACCAGTTAATTTGGGAATTGAGAGTTGTTCATTATGCATGATGCCTAAGATTCACTGCCAATCCCATCTCAGGTATCTGGTTTGCCTACCAAGCAGGCAAGAAAGTGTTTTCAAATGTTCTAGAAATCCCTAACTCCACAGGAGTAAAAGAGCACACACAAATGGCTAAATTGTCTGTATTCTTTTAATATTTTAATATAAAGCTGTTTATCTGGTGACAAAAAGATCTATGGGGATTCCATCATTAATTAAAAAAAAACAAGCAGGGCTGAGCTGATAAAAATAATAATTTTAAAAAACAGTGAAGGAAAATCAGCTTAAAGTGGCTAACTAAGACATATGAGTACTTTTCTGCTGAGGAAGAATAGCATTTTCTAGTGACTTCCTTAATGACACACTAAGCTGTGACATATCTCAGTCTATAAAACGAAGTTGCATAAGATGGGCTGACACTCCAGCTTTGCAGGGAACTGCAATTCACTAACATGAGCTGCTCTGACAAAGTTGTGTCCATACAGCCAATAGACCTGACCTCACTCAAGCTTTTATGTTTCCAAAAAAATGAATACTTCCTTTCCCAGAGAATCTTCTCACTGTAGTAGCCCAAGCAGTAGATGATATCTAGAGATAATTGTACTTAAGCACCTCCTGATGAGCTTCAGTATCATGTCTGCTAGTCACATACAAGCTTTGTTTTGGTCTCAAAACCCTTAGCTTTCAATATTATGTCTAAAATACTGGACTTGGTCAGGGGCTGGTAGAGCAACCAACAAGCATGTCCAGAAAAAAAATTCTCATTATGAGAAGCAAAATTTTACTTTCTTTCCTAGAAAGAGAGTTCAATCAGGACCAGCAGCTAATGGTTTTCTGAAAAGAGAAAGGACTATTGCTTATAGAGATGTTTCTCCTTCAGAACACTCTGTGGATCTCCATGTTTCCTTCTGATCCCAATGCATCCTACATGAGTTAAACTCTATGCCCCTACTTAGTCTTCTCTTGCCCTGCACCTGATAATTATCGTAAGATTCTCCTAAAATAAATCCCTGCTTTCCATCCCCCAAATCCCTCTGGATCCATCCTCTACAGACACTACAGCCTTGAATTTATGCCCGAAAATGCAATCCTGCAATTATGCATCCAGCTTTTGCAAATCACAGCATAGCTTGTTTAATAAATGCATTAACCACTGCAGCAGTGTCTCACCAGGGTCAGTACACACACCTAGGGCTTGTCACCAAGCAGTATGTTTATATGCTCACTACAGCATCAGTTTCTGTTATTCAGAGCAATGAAAAGTTCTGACTGGGGATGTCTCCAAATGGAGGTGAGCTTTAATGTGAGGGAGGGAAGAGAAGGAGAGGGATGTAAAGGGAGCTGAATGCATTGGCTCAGAATGCAAACAGGAACAGAGTGAGCACCCAAATTCAGAACCCAGCCCCCTTCTTTAGCTACACAATTTGGGCTTTTTGAGCTTTATGGAACATATTGCTTGGACAGAGAGAGGCAACAGAAGCATCATTAGGACGGATATCTGCTAGGTAAGCTGTTTATACAGCTGATTTTAATGAGTGAGCCCTTGTCCTCTCCTGAGATCCTGGTTAGTTATGCCCATATTAACAAGCCTTTCTGAAGAAGACAGACCAATCTCCCAGAATGCATCCTTCAAATGACCACACTTCTAAAGTGGCTATAACAAATGAGGGTGTTTGTTCTTTTTGTTCTTCTCCTGTGTTGATTAGAGAGATTTACTATGCAACTAACCTGCTTTCCCCAACAGCAGGACACAAACAATAAGCACAGAAATATACAGACTGTAAAAATGCAATCAGTTTAACTCTTCTGTGCTCAATAAGTGGGGGGTGCATCTATCACAACTGACAATAGAATTTTCTTATTAGCACAGGAGTACTATGCCACACTGGAGCATAATTACTTTCAACAGGGAAGATAGAAAAGTGTGGGTCACAGACACAGGCCATTGAAATAAGGATCCAATTCAGCACAGGGCAATTCTGAAACCCACACCATCCAGCCAGAGTGCTCAGCTATTTAAGCTATAAAAACAGTTAGCTCTGCACTGTCCTATAACAAAACAGCCAGATCTTTTTCCTGCTTTGTTTTGTTTTCTTTTTTTTTCCCTCTCTGCTGAATCAACCCACAAGATACCAGCTCAGGGCATGAAATGATCAGTCGTCATTCTGCA